GTAATGTTTTGTGTAGCAGTAGTAATGCTTGATGCAGTAGTAATGTTTTGTGTAGTAGTAAGGCTTGGTGCAGTAGTAATGTTTTGTGTAGTACTAATAATGTTTTGTGTAGCAGTAGTGATGTTTTGTGTAGTTGTAATGTTTTGTGTAGCAGTAGTGATGCTTGGTGCAGTAGTAATGTTTTGTGTGGCAGTAGTAATGTTTTGTGTGGCAGTAGTAATGTTTTGTGTAGCAGTAGTAATGCTCGATGCAGTAATAATGTTTTGTGTAGCAGTAGTGATGCTTGGTGCAGTAGTAATGTTTTGTGTAGCAGTAGTAATGCTTGATGCAGTAATAATGTTTTGTGTAGTAGTAAGGCTTGGTGCAGTAATGCTTTGTGAAGCGGTGAAGCTTGGTGTAGTAGTAATATTTTGTGAGGTAGTAGAATGATCAGGAAGAGCAGTGGGCAGTAGTGCAGTAGTTGCAGTATCAGGGATGTCTGTTATTGCAGTGAACTCTGCTCCAGCTGTGGAGGAGGCTAAAGGAACAGATGTGGGAAACGCATCAGCATTACAATGATCAGTTTGACATTAGCAATGTAAACATGCTTTGTAATTAGTGATTGTCAGCAGAAGTGATATATAAAAAACAAATACTATAAAAGTATTACAAATTAAATGTAGAGTATTTTCTGTGCTTACCATGACTTTAGTGTGTTGTTTTTAAACACAATGCACAGCTTAGGCTGATTCAGATAGTTTTACAGGTACTGCACATTAAAATGATGATCTGATGGTAGCAGTACAGGTAGAATCAGGACTACTCAGGTCATTCAATTTCAACCTGAGAGGACATGAACATCTGAACCCTGATATCCAGTAATGTTTTTTTCAGTCTGAAATAAAACTCTGAATGACAAAAATGCACTCAGTACTAAAATCTATTAATATGGAGCTCCTGAAAGGTAATAGCGAACGATTTATTGTGTAACACTTCTGTTTTCTATAACTTGTTTAAGAAAAACACCAATGTGTCAATTAAGTACACGTCTACAATCTAGTGTTGCAACTAATTAATAACTCTTTACTTGATAATGATGCCTAGGCTTGATCCACAGAGAAAATCTGGGCTGTTTTATGATGAACTGTTATGTTTTATAGCTGGGCACTGCTCATTATGATTATGGGACACACATAACACTCATAGTTTTGCAAACAATTAATCTCGAGCAGTGACATAAAAAATAGAAAAATAAGTGTTTAACAGACACTGCATAGATCACTGTGAGCATCAACATCTATATGATGTAGAAAAATAATTAATACAAATTCTGCACTCGTGTGTGTATATACAGGTATATATATCACAGAGTTTGCTAGTTATAAAGATAATGACAAAGAAAAGTATTGATACATGCTCAATCATCCAGGCAAGGAAATCCCAAAAACGTGAGTCGTTTCATTTGGATGTAGCATCTTTAGTGGAAGAAACAGCAGTCATCAAAGTGATTTCTTTAGTCTCACAATTTTTATATTAACAATCAAGGAACTGACCTCCCAGCCCATTTTTCATTCAGTGGGCTGGTATCAGTCATTGTGCAAATGTACTGTTTATAAGGTTGGGGAATCCACCAGTCACCTGAGACTAAATAAGTCACTTGGATGACTTAGGAGGAAATGTTTCGCCCACTGAAAATGCTACGTCCAGATGAACAGAATCAACTTTTGGGGAATGACAAATTAACCAAAACAATAAAATGACATGTTTTTCCATTCTGTTGCTGAGATCTTTTTAATTGTTAGGTTAAGTCTGAGAAAAGAAAAAAAAATAGACAAATTATATAAATAATTTAATATATTGCATGCATAACTTATCTGTTCATACTGTAAACATTAGTTTAACCTTATTTATCTAAAATTAAGAAAAATCAAGTTTGACTTAGATGAGATTTCAGTGATGACTAAAATAATAGTTATTGTTGTCAAGGAAAAAATACAGTAGAAATTGTGTTTTATGGTGTCATATGATGTGACTTAGGTCACACGGTGTCTCACTAACAGCTCCAGAAATGCCAGCAACAATCAGATAAACTCAGTTGTTCTTACCCAGAGTGAAAACGAGCCAAACCCAGCCATCCATGATGATGAGCTGCTGCAAATCAGATTTCCTGTTTGTCCGGTTTGGTAAAAGTTTACATATTTTAAAGACGCCACTCTGTGAGTCTGCATGAAACCATTCAGCTGCATTATTCTGCTTCACAATGAGCCACCAGATCATATAACACATGATTGTTTTACTGCATGTTTTTTTCAGGAAAAAGTTCCTGTATCGACTGTCTTTGCCCATAAGTTACCTATAAAGGACTTTGAACTGCAGTCCACCTTCGTAAAAGGTGCTAAATTAATAAATATGGTGTGATTTACCGTAGGGAAGGTGCACAGTGTGAAACCTGAAGTGTCACTGGTAAATCTCAGAATCTGCAAACTTTTAATGTCGTTTTTGTTTTTATTGTAAAACGATCAAGGACCTACAGTCAGCAGCAGTGAAGGTAAAGGTAACACGTGTTTATCAAAAACAGGTCAAAATAATAGAAACACCATAATACTGTATAGCAGTGATGTCCAACTCATTTTACATCATGGACCATGCACCGCCCACTTTGCCTTTAAGTGGTCCTGACCAGTGAAACCCTTCTTTTTTGTCACTGTACAGAAGTTTAACTGCAATCCATGAGATATCTTAATACGGGAAAAAGAAGTGTTGCTACAATCGTATGTCTTTTTTTTTCTACATGATAGAGAAATGCTAATGTAGTTAATCAAAGAAATCTGTCAGCATGACTCTTTGGGTTTAAACTATAAACTATCATTTTGTAAAATTACAGAGACGTCCTGGTAGCTCACTGTCCTCTACCTTTTTATTATTATTATTATTATTATGAGCCGATTGTAAAATAAATAAATAAATAAATAACAGAGAGATTTCTATAGTACACAAAGAAAATGCAACTTTTCTGTCATTGAACTTTTTATCTATTACTTAATTACTTTAGTGTGGTATGAATGCACATGGGGGAGGTCTTTATCAGCAGGACAAGCAGTAAAACTCATGAAAATACAGTTAAAATCGAACATTTATGAGCCGACTGTGAGCCTTGAGCCTTACATTTGACACCCACTCTAATAATTTAGAGCCAGTTTACAGGGACTGGCTGTAAACTATTCAGTAGGGGGAGTTTTGTTTTAGGACAATTTAACCCAGAATTCAAATGTACAGAGAAAACAAGTAATGACCACTGATGCTGACCATGCTGGTGGCTGCCCACTGCTCCTTATGAGTTAAATGGAACAAAAAAGCTTCCATGTATGGGTCAACCTCTCTACACCTGAAATTTAAATCATTATTAGGCAAAATTGAGGAACATCAACTCCAAGTCCCAAAAAGTTGATTCTGTTCATCTGGACGTAGCGTTTTCAGTGGGAGAAACGTTTCGTCACTCATCTAAGTGACTTCTTCAGTCTCAGCTGACTGCAGGTTTCCCCAATCTTATAAACAGTACATTTGTATAATGAGAAACTAGCACCACTGAAGGAACAATAGGCTGGGAGGTTAGTTTCTTCATCATAGTTATGCAAATTCTCATGACCACTGATCAAAGACCACTGATCAATGGCCATGAGTACCATTTACAGAGAGCTGGGGAATGGCTGCAATCACAGCATTGTAAGATAGTGAAAGATGTACCCACACAGCAAATCCAGCATGTCCAAATTAACACTGTCGGATTTGATTTCAACACTATTAAAGTGTCTATATGGGTCCACACCAGAGAGTGTTAATTTAACTCTTTTTGGAGAGTTGGTACGTTAACTCTGATTTAGTGTTAAACACCAAATCTGTCTGGAGTTGATAATTTAACACTTGGTGTTAAGAGTTTATATATTAACTCTCAAAGAGTATTTTAGTTTAACTACGTAAGAGTTATCTTCTAATTCATTCTAAAAAGCAGGAATTTTACTGTTCTGAACTTCTAGAAATTTCTTTTGGAAATAAACATTTACTAAAAAGATGCAATGGTTTTTGAAAAACATTTATTCTGAACTGTGCACCACAATTTCAAAACATTTTCTGAAAGATGTAACAGTGTACATGTTCTCACTTTCATTAGAATTTTGTTTATCAAAAGGTCTGACATAGGTGAGCTGGTAAATGCAAATAACAGCATTCTCATCACTTATTTCTTCAATACAATATGCATGTCCTTCATTCATCCCTTTGTGGAACTTCAACGCACTTCTGCTCTCCCCCATATTCCATCTTCACAAGCATATCCTGTGCGGAGATTGAATAAAAATTAGTTGACACTAATTAATGGCACAAATAATCCAGTAAACAATTGCAGCACAGTAAAAAAAAAAAAGGAATCCTCTTTGAGCCATTACTTGTGTAAAGTATTTTCCCAAAAGACAAGGACACAGGCAACAGGTAATACTGAACTAAATGTAAAACCTCAACCTTTTTCATTTTTACCTAAACCGTGTGCACAAAACTCTGGAGGGATCTATGCTAACGTAGAATCCAGTCAGGACGTCTGCTACTGCTGTTTGCTCGTTTTTTGTTTTTTTTTATGGGCGATCGTTTTCAGGCTTCAAGTAGCACCATTATACCAACATTTCACATTCTAGACATTGTTTTAGGTGTATTTGACCAAAAGTTTGACTGAAAATTCACATGCAAGCTTTTTTTCAAGGCTGTGGTATTTGCCCGCAAACAATACCTTTCAGCTAGCTAAAACAGAATATTATGCTATCAGCGAGCAACATGGCTAATGCCTTTCACACAGCTTTGTCTCAACTCCAAAGAGCCACAGAAGTAAAAGCTCATAATAATAATTGAAACAATCTTTGAAAAAATGACTTACCAAGCATGGCAAACAACTCAAATATGTAGAGCAAAATGTTCTGAAACGGCTTCACTTCAGCTTCGATTGGAGCCGTGCTGGGGGCGGAGTCTGTGAATTTACTCTGTTGGTGTCATAGCCCCTCTAGGAGTTCAGAGTTAAGAGGTCAAGAGTTAATGTTTCCATTGTAACACCTCCAGATTTGACAGAGAAACACTCATTTTTAACACTCGAGTTTTAACTACTATCATTTTACACCTCAGAGTTACATTAAAAGAATGTGACTCTGCTTAGAGTAAAATTAACTCTACTTTTGCAAGAAGACTATTAACACCAAAACATTTAACACTTTGAATGTGTTAAAATTAACTCTACTTTTGCAAGGAGACTATTAACACCAAAAAATTTAACACTTTTGAATTTGCTGTGCATAGGCCCCCTCCTCGATTCCTCCCCTTTTCACGTAAATGGCCTCCTTGACTCCGCACTCAAACCAGTGTTCCTCCCTGTCCAGGATGTGTACATCCTCATCATTGAAAGAGTGTCCACTGGCCTGTACGTGTAAATAGACCGCAGAGTCTTGGTTTGATGAGGTAGCTCTTCTGTGTTGTGCCATCTGCTTTGGCAGAGGTTGTTTGGTTTCTCCAATAGATAAATCCTGGCAATCCTCTTGGCACTTAACAGCGTACACTATCTTACTCTGTTTGTGTCGGGGGACCCGATTCTTGGAGTGGGCTAATTTTTGGTGCAGCGTGTTTTGGGGTTTAAAAGCCACAGAGATGCAGTGTTTATAAAAAAAATGTGTCTCAACTCTTCCAATACTACAGACACGTACATGATCACTACGAGTTTTCGGCTAGGTGGCAGTTGTTCTTTTGGCACCTTCCCAGCTTTGACAAATGTCCAGCTGGGATAACCACATTTACTCAGGGCCTTCTTGATGTGATGTCCTTTTGCTTCTTTGTCCACTGTGTCTGTGGGGATAGTGTTTGCTGTGTGTTGTAGCGTCCTGATAACACCCAGTTTATGCTCAGTGGATGATGAGAGTCAAACCTCAAATACTGATCCGTATGCATAGGTTTCTGATATACATCAGCTTTTAAATGTCCCCCATTACTGATGGAAATCTCACAGTCTAAGAAAGCTAGCCTGCCACTTTTGATATCCTCACTAGTGAATTTGATGAGTTGGTCCACCGAGTTAATGTGATCCGTGAATTGTGGTACGTCCTGAGATTTGATTTTCACCCAGGTGTCATCCACATACCTGAACCAATGACTTCGTGGTGTTCCATGTTAGGATAACAAAGCCCTCTATTGCACTTCTTCCATGTAGAAATTGGCCACAATGGGTGAAACTGGTGAACCCATGGCACAGCCATGTTTCTGCCTGTAGAACTGACCCTTGTATGTGAAGTAGGTGGAATTAAGACACAGTTCCAAAAGCAAACACACTTGGTCGGGGCTGAGAGCGGTCCTGTTGCTGAGGTTGGGGTCATCCTGTAATCTCTTACGGACTTCCTCCAACTCGTCCGTGACTGGGATGCAATTGAGAGATGTAACATCGTACGAGACCATGGTTTCATCTGCCTCCATCATGACATCTCTCACCTTCTCAACAAAATCCAAGGTGTTCTGGATGTGGTGTTCAGAGCTACCCACCAACAGGCTGAGGATCGAAGCCAGAGACGTTATAGGTGACCAAGTTGATCATACAAACAATCGGTCTTAAAGGTGCACAATTTTGTCAGTGAGAAGTGACAAAATTTTCTCATGATACTCTTTCTGGTTTAGCAAATCCATGCACCTACCCTTGTCTGCCGGAAGGATGATGACATTGTTGTCATTACTAAGTGATGTGAGTGCCTTCCTCTCCTCCATGCTGATGTTGGATGCTGGGGGCTTTGCAAGTTTCAGATTGTGGCATGACCACTTTAAAAAAATAAGTTAAGTCTGCAATAAACTTTTGCAAAGACAGTATTTATTTTCACACACATAAAAACATGTTAAAAAAAAGTGTTTGTCCTTTTACAATTGATAGCAGAACTGAGTTCAACATCTTTCAGATTATACAAAATAAATTTAAAAAAATGTCTGTTTTCATTTAATGATTCAGCTCAGTCAGGCAAATCTGGCAAATCTGACAAAACAAGTCCACATTTGCAAAACTTGGCATTTCCCCCATAAAATTAAAGTCAGATATATTTTTAAAGTCTTGATAAAGTTCATGAATTCTGAGATTAAAATGTTTTCTGAATATTCAAAAACAACGTGTTTTGAAGCCTTCTCATTTTCTGCTTTTGTACACACACATACTGATACTGATCAATCAATGAATATCACAAATAAACATCATAATAGAGGCTGTGATCAGACTAAAGTTCCCCTTGCATTTATTCTCAAAGAAAAAAAATATCTCATTTAGTTAACAAACTGAACATTTGTGTCACTAATTATCTGAAAATAACTGATAATCAAAATGAATATATATATTTTATTATTATTTTTTTTTTTCTGAAGATGGTGTTGATGCACCAACATCAACACTATCTTCAGGACAAACAATTTGGGGTTTTCTTCTGCAAACTTAAAATTAAAAATTGAGGTTCTGGTGCAGCAGGAAGAGTTGGCAGGACTTTGTTAGAGGCCTTTACTACAAAGCAGGAATCTGGGCTTGTGCAGTTAACTTCAGGGTAATTCTCAGTTTTCAGTTTTGAATTCTTTCTAATATTTACTCTCAGACTTTTAAACACTACCAGGGCTGCAGCTGAAACAACTAACACTGTTAATTAGAATTCATCAGATTCTCCTGTGCATTAATGATAGAGTTCTTTAGAGCTCTTTTTACTTGTAGTCAGCATAGTTGTCAGATGTCTCTCTTTCTTATTGTTTTTTCTCTCTTTGCAAATTCAGTCTCTCTTCTGCTCATTCCATGTAACAAATTGGTCACATGCTGCCAAAGCCACCCTTGTCATTTTACAGCACTTGTACCTAGACTGACCTGGTTTAACCTAATGTTGATACCTACTTTCTTATGGCCTCTTTGTCTGACTGATGATGTTAGGGTAGGGTAAAGCCATAAATCCAGGTAACTGGAAGTTATTCTGAGTATGTTGAATTTGTTTCACAGCACAGAGCCCAGATGTTTATGGCTGTCCTTATATGTCTCACACTGTACTGAAATTGGCAAAAATTCAGCTACAGGACGCTAGCAAGACAGATCTCAGTGACCATAGAGCTAAAGGATAAAATTATTAGAATGAAAAGTCTATGTTTTATTTTAGTTTTCACAAATTCAGCATCTGTAATGTCTTGAATTATGCTGATTGGTAGGTCAAGGATTTAGGAATAGAAGGAAACATGCTTTTTCTGCCCTTCTGGACTGGACTATCTCAGGAGCGCAGCCTGTGATCAGAAACTGAGACAGAGTTCTCTTATGTAGAAAAAAATCTGCTGGCATTTGAAAGAGTGTCTGTGTGCAGAGGTGGTAATCATTGTCAGGTGATCTACATACTGATCTGCTGCACACAGTTAATGATTGAACCGCTGCTCAGTGTCTGTCTGAGGGGTTCAGAGGTTTTTGGAGGGGGGTATGTGAGGTTGGACTTGGGTGAAACTGAACTCTTTGGGTTTTCATTCAGTTAGCAGGCACCATGGCTCAGCTGGTGGAGTGTGTCCCCAACTTCTCCGAGGGCCGAAACAAAGAGGTGAGAGGAGGACTTTTCTGCCTAATTAACATTTAAACAGTTTAAAGTAAATAAGTAAAGGTGTGTGAGTATTATCAGCAAAATGTGATTCAAGTATAAACGTGCTCATTGTGAACTGAAATGCTGTTTGACTTTAGTTTTAAAGTTACAACTGCAAGTGTTTGTATTTGCTGCTTTGATCTGTGTGTTTGATTTAATAGTTTATATATGTCATGATCCTGGGTCTGTTGACCCAGCGTTTTGAGTTTTAGTTTATGTAAGCCCGTTTATGTAAGCCCGTCAGGTTTCCTAAGTTCATTTGTTATCATGCCTAGGTGTTTCTAGTTCTTATTATTTCCCCCTCGTGTTTCCAACTATGTTAAATCTCCCCTGCTCTTCATGCGTTTCATGTCTGTGTCTTACATTGTCAAGTTCGGGTTGTCATGTCTATGTCTCTTTATGTTTCCTGTTTTATTGTGAAGAGGTCTGGTGTTTCTGTGTTCAGTTTTACTCTCCCACGGTGACGTCATTATGTTCATGTGTGCCAGCTGTTTCCCCATGTGTTCCCACTTCCCTCATCATCCTCCTGTGTGTATTTAGTCCGTGTGCTTTCAGTCATTTGTTGTCAGGTCGTCTGCTCATCCATGTCTCATCCCCAGGTACCCATGTCAGTTCACTATGGTTAAGCTTTTTCATGTTTTGTTATTAGTTCACCCAGTTTAGGTTATTGTTTAGTTTTCACCGATGCCCGATTATTTTTACCCTCATTGCTAGCCTCAATAAACGGCTTGTTTTGTTTATCCACACTACGTTTTGGTCTGCGTTTGAGTCCTCCTCTGCAACACATACGGTCTGCCCCAGCCAGACCGTGACAATATATCTTTGACATTGAGATGATTTTAAAAAATCAGAAAAAACTTTAGGCTCTTTTGGCAGTTTGAGATCATGAGAGAGAGAATCGGGTGATTCCCTGTGAACAGCACTTGGTGACAGTGGGGAGGAAGAACTTCATCTTACAGGAAGTAGCCTCCCTCAGAGGAACTGCCATCTGAGGAGAAAGGAAAAGAGAAAAGAAGAGCATAGCAAGATCCTAGACTTCATTCTTCATTTGCCTTTGAATTTAAAATAAAAATATTGACAGATTTCTGGATCTTTACTGAACAGGAAGTGCATAAAATGCTAGAATATAACTTAAACTGTCAAAAACTGCAATTCAGTAAAAAGTGACCAAGATATGGTTTAGAGTAATGAGATATGTCATCAAACATTAAACAGCTAATCTTTTTATCTTTAAACAAACAAAATATCTTTAAACTGCTCTGAAAACAGTTTAAATGTCTCAACATGAAGTCTGCAGGAGACTGATGTGTTTAACGTGTGAGTGAGGTGCTCTTGAGTTCAGATTATCTGTTGAAACATTCGTTAAACAGACATTAAAGATTCAGTCCAGAGTAAAGCTGTGTACTGACCTTTGCCCTCTGTTCCCACAAGAGGAAAACAGTTCCACGGAAGTGGGAACATTAAATAATCAGCTGATTTTCTGTTTAACCACAGAATATTCTTGTGTTTTGACAAACTACACTGTTCTCATATTCCAGCAGCACTGGTTTGTAAAAAATCAGCTGCCAATCAAACCAGAGTACAGTCCAAATTGGACACCCACTGAAAGCATCTGATGCTTTATGATACCAAAAATACAAAACAGGTGAAGCTGAAACCCAACTTTATGAAAGAGAAAGGACGTATGTGATTTTCAAACTGCAGCAACTGGTGTCCTCATAACAATGTAAATAAATAAATAGAGCCGATGCAGTACATTGAGAAACATGTTCCTAATTTAAGTTTTTGATACTTGTTGCTAACACAAATTCTCAATTTTTTGATGTTATCTTTGTTCTATTTCCAGTTTAATGCGGGTTTTAAATAATTTCAAATTGTTTCCATTTTATTTCAATGACAGCTGAGTGTAAATTTCTACAGTTATAGAATCAATTCTGCATAAAATTCTGGTCATTCACTTCGTTGTGATGCTCATTAGAGCCATTATTACAGTCTAAACTCTGGCCACCGCAGTATCCTTACTCGCAATCCAAAGTGTTCTTGCTCTTTATCAACACAATATTTCCTTTGAGCTTGACTAACTAAAGCAGGTGAGCCACATTATTACAACTTCTCTATGAACTGTTTAGGTGATCGATGCCATCTCAGCAGCCATCTCCAGCACACCCGGCTGCAGCCTGCTGGACGTCGACCCTGGAGCCTCCACTAACCGCACCGTCTACACCTTTGTGGGCTCTCCTGAGGCAGTGGTGGAGGGGGCGCTGAACGCCGCCCGCCAGGCCTTCAGCCTTATTGACATGAGAAAACATTCAGGTGTGTCTGAGCCCAGCAGCTTATCTCAGGGAGCTGCTTCCTAACATCAAGGCATTAACATGTTTCATGTCCAGGTGAACATCCTCGGACCGGGGCCATGGACGTTTGTCCCTTCATTCCCGTCCAGAACGTCAGCATGGACGACTGCGTGCAGTGTGCCAACGTGTTCGGACAGAAACTGGCAGAGATGCTGCATGTGCCCGGTGAGGCTCATTAAAAAAAACAGCTTCAGCTTTACTGCAGTCAAACATGCAAGAAAACAAGAATGAGAAACAGAATAAAATTATAAAACTAAATGCCAATGTAAAATTTAAAAAAAAGTAGTCAATTTTTATTGTTTATTAGGAAAATTTAAAAAAAAACCAGTGATACCTGGATAAGACAGACAGAGACATAAAGCACAAAAAGCAAGTAACACAGACAGACTTATGACAACCTGCAATGTTTCACAGTTGTGAGGTTTTTGTTGTTAAGCCTTTTTCTCCACACAGTGGTTTTCTAATGATGGCAACAATGTCTCCTTCTTTTGTGGAAGGTGCTGATCAGTGCCCAGAATTTTTGTGTGAGTTAGGTAAATGACAGAGGTGCTACTTAATTCAGAATTTCATATTGTAAGTAAATAAGTCTGGAATTTAATAAGTCTTTTGTAGCTGAGGAAATCAGACTGAAGTGGAAGGTTTTGGTTTGTTATTCAGGACTATAAGAGCTGTACGGAGACTGATTGCACAGATGCTAGTGTTGTATCAGTGGTGAGAGACGAAGTACATGAAAAAAAAAATCACCTGTCGCATTCAAATGAAGCCAAAGAGTCAGAAGTTGATTTATTTATTGTTTCTTAACTGAGTCAAAAGTCTTATCTTATCTTGACTTCTGAGATGAAAATAAAACACTTTATGTTAGAGCCCAATAATAACATAATCCTGGGCCAATAATGTGGCAATAAAAGAGAGGGAACTACGTATTACTATTTAATTTTAATGTACATACAAGATAACAAAGTAATTTTTTAGTTGACCACTGTTGGCTGAAATGTATAGCATAGAATAATGATGCCTGTGAGGGTAAAGCTGTTAGTAACAGTACTAAGAATAAGAGAAGCTGTGAGCAATAAAATAGTAATTTCTGTGCAGAATTATGGGAATGCATTTATAATAACAGTGATGTGGTAGTAATGGCATGATAATAAGATAATAATGCACATTGGTGTTTTCACATATTAGGATAATATTACAATATTTATATGTGAAATGAATTTTCCATATACCTTAAAAAGGGTCCTTTGTTTGAATGTAATAATATTCAAATATTTTATATTTGACGCTGTGGTGTACTTGTGTGGTAGTTTTTATATAATAACTATAAATCAGTGCAACTAAATATAAGACTACCATTTCTACTATGCTGCATACAAAAGCTAAAAGCCAATGAAACAAGCTATTACTAGTTATTATATTGTAATTGCATAGTGGTATACGGTATTATGGAACTATTGTCCCTTTATGCCACACTCCACACTATTACCATGTTCTTACTGAGTTGTCAATAAATTGCTACCAAAGTCAGAGAGCAACTTTGTCACTACAAATGCAAACATTTGGACGTCAGCTCCAGTGCATGCTGAGCCCAGAACAAAACTCCAGAAGTGCAAATGAATGGGTGGCACTGTATTCCTGGTCATTCTTTTAAGAGCTGTTAAAACAGACTGGTCAATTTTGAATGAGAACGCTAAAGTAAGGGGGATGGGGGAGCACAGAACTGGAAGGTTAATGAGTTAAAATGATTTGGGGGGTTTTTCCTGGCTGCTCTGATTTTTAAAAACCACAAAATGTTTTTACATTAGAACCAAAAGGGAGGCTTCACCCTCTCAGCAATAAACCCGAGATTCAAGTCTCAGCTTACTATTCACTGTTTTTGGTTTGGTTTTGGTTTAAATTCAAATTAAGAAGTAAATAAGGTTCTTTTTCCACAGTGTATCTTTATGGAGAAGCAGCTCGAACAGTGACCAGGAGAAGCCTTCCATCTGTGCGAACAGGAGAGTACGAAGCTTTGCCTGAAAAGGTGAGGACTCATCAAATCATTATCTCCTTTCTTCTTCGCTCATTTAGTGTTGTGTGGTTCTAACTTCTGAGAATGATTTCTAAAAAGAAAAAAGAAAAAAAAAGAAAAAAAAAGGTTTCTTTGTAACAGCAGGGTCAGTGATTGATTTTTATTTTTAACTTGAAATATGGTTAACCACAAGAAAATTGTCTCTATTTCCAATTACAATGTTTTTCTCCCTCCAGTTGAAACGTGATGAATGGGCCCCTGACTTTGGCCCCGCCGACTTTGTACCATCTTGGGGCGCAACGGTAACTGGTGCTCGTAAGTTCCTCATTGCCTATAATGTGAACCTGATCAGCACTAAAGAACAGGCTCATCGCATAGCACTGGACATCCGGGAGCAGGGTCGAGGGAAGGACCAGGTGCGTCCTGGGAATCTGGGTTATTTATTTAGCTTTTCATGTTGTGGGTGTTGCTCGCTGTCAAAATTTTTCAGATTTTTCTTTTTTAAATCAATTTTTTTCTAATATTTTCCACTTTTTGGAGAATTTGTTGAAATTTCCGATTATTTTTGAATTTCTTATGTTTGTTTGAAAGGTTTACTTAATTAAATAGGACTTGATATATAACTAAGTATTAAAAACTTTTTTTCTTCTTCTCTGTGTTCATAAGCCTGGGCAGCTGAAGAAGGTGCAGGGGATTGGTTGGTACCTGGATGAGGCTAACCTTGCTCAGGTTTCCACCAACATTCTGGACTACGAGGTGACGCCCCTCCATGCTGTGTATGAGGAGATCTGCAGAGATGCGGAGGTTAGAGCTGTGTACTTTGTGTCGTTTCTGGGATGCTTAGAACTCAAATTACACTGCTGGAAATAGTTTATTTTGATGCACATGCTGTTTTTTTTTGCAAATTAGCATTATAATACTCATTTTCATTTTTCCTGTAGTATATAAAAATTGATGTATCTGAAAAATAAAATTATGAAGACACTTAAAATAAATTTCCTGTTGTTGGAAACTTTTTTGTACAGCGTTTTTTTATTTACAGTTTTGAGGGATAAACCTCTTAAAACCACTTAAGCCCCACGCCCCAGGTACCAGGGGCAAAAAGGAGGACATCTCGTTTAATCAGTTATAACACGGGATGAGAAATATAAGTCCATACATGTGTGGTATCCACAGAAACCTCAGAATCTCAGCTAAAATGTCATATAAACCATTTCTACAACCACCAAATACATTGAAAACAAGCCATGATTAAACGAGCAGTTACGTAAATGCACAGAAGACCGCTAAACAAACAAAACCGAACTGGAAATTCTCCAGACTTCATGTAACCGACTAAAGATAGGCTGGTTAGCTTCCAGAGCTATCACTGACTCCACACACCAAATTTCACCACGATCAGACCAAATTCACTGAATGAGCCGCAAAAGAAGACCACTAAAACACACAGTGGTGCAAATGCGCTAAGACAGAGATTGGCTTACCATCCCGATTTCCTCCGTTATTTTTGCTGGTAGCCGGTAGCCACGTGATTACCAGTAGTTACCATGCCTACCTAGCTGCATCAGAGCCGTTTTCTGTCAACAACCATTTTAGACCCACCTACAGACACGTGACTGGACAGACGCCACATGCAGCAAATTTGGGCCCACGTCTGATTGGTTGAAGTGACGTGAACGTGGTGTCGTTACTTTGTTTCTATTGGCTAATACGATTAAAAAGAGGTGTCAATCATGCAAATTGACCAAAAGAAACCAAAGTTACAGCCCCTCGGAGTTTAAAGGGCCAGAGACCATTTAAACGCTTAATGCGCACTGCAGAAAAGGGCCATTACCATGTAAATGTGTGGTTAATTCTTCAAAAATATATTTTAAAATAGAGCATTTTTAGGCCTGATAATAAAATTTTATTAATTTCTGCTCTTTAATACCTAAAAAAATTCAACTGGCATAGTGTCCAATTATGTGCCAAAATTGGACATTTTTGTACAACGTCTGGATATTGATGTATTGACAGGGCAGTAATTTTTTGCTGTTTCACTTTAGAAACATAAATCTTTGCACAGATGATGTTTATATGTTGGTTACTGAAATCCTGGAACCAAATGTGATCTGAGGCATATTTTTAAAAGGGTTATATGCTAAAAATTAAAAAAAAAAAAAAAATTAGGGGAGGATAAAATATACTTACTTTTCCTGTGTTCCAGTCTCAGGAACTTTGACACAGTAATATCTGCTTCAATATTTACACCTCTGGTGAAATCTCACAAGTGTTAGCTTTATTTTGATACCAAGATTGTAAGGACAGAGTTTGTAATTGGAGAGACATAATCAATTAAATTTGGGCATTACATTTTCGAGCAGGAAGTTCAGAAACCCCCTTTGGTGCTTAAGAGGTTAAATTTCTCTAACTATAAATATATGTAAAAAAAAAAGCTAAAAATGATTTTCATTTCTTTTGTGGTTTATTGCACTTTTTTGCAATTTTTGTGGTTACTATGGACTTAATGCATACATATTATTAAAATTTGAGCTATAGCTGTTGTATTACGTATAGCAACTTGAAATGCTCCCAAAAAGGGAACTACAACATGTAAAAATATAAATATAAGCTCTGGCAGACTATGGTAGGTCTTAAAGGGTTAAGTAAAGACCAACAAATCCTTAGACTGTTACTGACTTAATTTTTTCTTTTATTGAAATTGTCTTTTAGGACCTGAACTTGCCTGTGGTCGGCTCTCAGATTGTTGGCCTGATCCCTCTGAAGGCTCTGCTGGACTCTGCTGACTTTTACATCCAGAGAGAACGACTCTTCATTATCGAAGAGGAGCACAAAGTCCGACTGGTCAGCAGATGACTCTTTTTTTTTTTTAAGATATTTTAATAAATTATAGCCTCTGATTGTTTGTTTGTTTGTTGTCAGGTGATCAGTAAACTTGGCCTCGACTCCCTCGGTCCGTTTAATCCAAAGGAGAGAATCATAGAGTGAGTATTTAAAAACTGTGATGTAGTCAGCTGATTCATTATATACTTTATATCCCGAAAAATATATAAGAACATCGAAGAACATTCAGCCCTTATAATGACAGGATTACATTTTATCTGTGAGTAATAAATAAACAGAAAGCAGAAGGACATTATAAATCATTTTAAAGTCTGTAGAACATTTGTGGAGTGGATTGAGAAAACTGCCAAACCCACCTAATAATCATTGAGGGTTAGTAGGTTGTCTCTGGTACTAGATTTTACATCATGTTTCTGAACTTCTGAACCCTAGCACACCAGTCGGATGCTTCTTTTCCACTGAGATGATGCCAGCATCTGTTGTATTTTGGTGTCTTTTAAGGACCATATTTCAACAAATGTGAGAACCATTTCTTATACAGTGTTAAGGTGGGACATGTCTTAAACAGAATCATGGCAGACAGAATCTGTTGGTTGAATCAGTTATTTTTTTTATAGTAGTCCCTCCAGTAGTTACTGATATCAGTGGTTCCATATCAATCATATTTGCATCAGTGATATCTGATATCTTGTATCAATGTCAGTTTGTTCTGCAATGACAATATCAAAAACTGTACGTCTCTCACTAGCAGTGCCGTCACTAGAAAAGAGGTCAAACGTGTTATGATTTTCATGAAGGTCCTGTTTGGGGGCTTTAGAGTTTCTCTATTCAGGTGCTCAGAAATTCCTCTTTGTAGATGGAGCAGTTCATCTGTCTTCATCTGAGGAAAAAAAAAAAAAAAAATTGAAACATGCCAATGAGAGCCCGATCCTTATGGTCCATAGTCCCAGATCTGTGAGGCTGTGGTTCACCTAGTTTGAGGCCAAGCGTCCAAAACAGTAGTTTTCTTGGCGCTTTTCAGCGCTGTTAATTCAATCTTGAAGGCTTGCTTACAAAAAATTAGAAAAAAGAGAGCTGATTATTAGCTCATCAAAACACAACACATAATCACCTGACAGGTTTTCTCTAAGTGCACTGTTACAATTTTAAAGGGCCCAATTCTAGACATGTCCATGTTTACTAAAACTCCCTCTAATAAAATAAGAAAACAACCCAAACCTAACTGACAGAATCCACCCATCACTCAAACACCAACCCCAAGGATCTTAAACACACAAAAATTTTGCTTATTAATCTATCAATATGTTATGGAAATTAGAACTTCAGGGCCACAAAAGTTTTGCCCTACTCTTGGTTTAATTAATACTTACATAGTCTGAAATCAGACTTAAAATCACTCCCTCTGTTCATTCTTCCCCACATCATATCTCAGTGGTTGGCCTCAGATTCCACAGCGTCCTGAGAGTCCAAGGTCAACTGACATAATTTCACCTGCTAAATACACACAAAAAATCTTGTTAAAAGCCACACAGTTATGTTCCCCTTTTAGCACTTTAACATACATAGATTTAGCACAAGATATAAACCCGTTATAACAATGTGTCATCACTAAATTATAAATTTCTTGTCCAAATCTGCCCTTCTGAACATACCTGACCACCTTATTTAATTATCCTGTTACTTTACTATTATATCTTTCACCAAGTAATCCTCCTCAGTCTCTGCTATGTTTCCTTCATTGAAAGCCTCAGACACACAGCCACACAGGAAGCTTCTTTCTCACCACTCATTTCAGCTAATTTGCATACTGAGTCATATCTCAAGAAGTTACCATGACAAGAGAAAGGCATATTTAAATCTTACCACATTATTAAATTATTTTATTCCTTCCTAGGAAAATCACTTGTTTTGCTCAATCGACACAAGAGCACTTCCAATTCACTATTTTAACACTACTTCAAGCTCTTAATCACTTTTTCATTTTCACCAACGTCACTCTCTTGTCATGGAGCTTTTCTGAGTTATTCCTCAACTTCAGGGTTTAAGTGTGTTAAATTCACACTATTTTAACACTAATAAACAGACTCACATGCTCAACATGCTGTCTAATCTTCATGAGCTCTCTCGTAGTTGTAAGGTTAATGCATTTTCTGTTTGTGTGTGTGATTTTGTATGTTTCTTTTTGCAGTGTTTTCCAACTTAAGCAGTCAGTTTTCTCTTCCCCAAGTTTACTAACCCAAATTTTGATGTCCCACCTTAAATAACAGCATTCCTTGTCTTCAGCCAATTCAACCAGAAACTCGGCCTGAACGTTTCCAGTGATGTTTACCTATAAGTTTCTTCCGACCGCTGCATGTGGAAAATTGATCCAGGTCTGCTTTACACCTAAAAATAACAAAACTGAGACATTTTCATTATTATCATGAGTGCTTAAACGACCCACTTCTCTCTCCGGCCAGAAATACCAATTTATTTCATGTATTCACCTTGATAAATGTAAGCGTGTTCTTCCTTGCGTTCATGTTATGTGGTCATGTTAATGGAGTGTAAGCTGCTTCTTCATTGCATATGTATTTTATAATCAGGTTTAACTCATGCCTCTTTGCACTGAGCTGTGGATTCAAACTATCTCAATTCTGCTTCTCCCCAAAAATTATTTCACATGTAACCCTTTGTATATGTGTGTTTTGTATAACCTCATTGTTGTGATATGGTGAACATTTCTTAAACCTTCATAAGTTCAGCCTTCAATCCAATTTTCCCATATGCATTCACTATATAATGTCCAGGTTCACCTCTCACTGTTCTCACAGTTTCCTGTGGGGCCTCGCAGATCAACACAGGCCCAAATCAGCTGTTTCTTCTCTCCATTGCTTCTCTCTTGATCTTTTCAGTCTTTTTGAGGATTAGCATGGCAAATATGAAAATCAGTGTCCAGTGCTTCCACACAGTTGTTTATCCCACTGTTCAACTTCCCAGCTTAGAGTTCAGAGTTCATGTTCTATCAAGTGTTTTCTTACATGCTGCTGCTGGAGTCTTCAGTGTTATAGTTCAGTTGCACTGTCTTTTTGCCTGCTGTTAATTCTTCAAGTACACGGTGTTCTGTCTGTCTTCTGTCTTCATCAGGAGATTGACTGTCCTTTAAGCTTCTCCTCAGGATAACGAGACAATGAGAGGTGAAGCTGTCAAATTTTAAGCCAAAGCCTGGCCTGTTTTCCTCCCAATTCTGTTAATCTATGCTTTTGCCGCTGTACTCATGTTTTCAGATTGAGAAGAGTCCACCTGTATTGACACACTAAAACCTTCAATTAATATCCTTTTCATTTCTTTTCTTAAGACATCCATTTGCTTCATCTGCCTAGATTTTAACTCGTCTCTCTCTCTCTGGGTGCATGCTTCACACACCAGCCAGTTTATTTTTATGGGCATGCAAAGTTCCTGTCACACACACAGTTTCCTGTCAAACACACACAGCCACACAGACTCATATTTTTCTGTTTCTCTCCTTCCTGTTTCTACAGGATAATCGAACTCTTATTTTTTTTATATTTACAGTCTATAAACCCTCTGTAATTCTGCTAAGTCTTGATCTAAAGACAATGTGCCCTTATTACACGCACACACACACTTAAATATACTAAGCTCTTTCATTTGCCAGAATTCACACCAAATCTTCAGCGTGCTCAGCAAAGCTCTTTCAGACATCAGGACAATTAACAATTTTCCACACATATCACCATTCTTTCAGCTCAGTTTTGTAGCATCATTCACGCAATACTTTCATCAGCATTTTACACACTTCCCTGAACTTCGTCGCCTCACACACACTTTTTTCTCAAAACAATGTTCACCTTTAATCATTCATTCCAAATGACAATTTTACACTTCACTTATACATTCACACATTTATATATAACAAAAGACTGCCAGTAACTGCCAAGATAAATTATTTCCATTACCATATTCACATCTTCAGTTCATCTTCCTCTAGTAATAGTCATCCTACCATTTCGACTAATTTAAAAGCATCTAAGCCCAGGTTCGCCCACCTTGCTGGTCAATTGTAGCCGTTATCTGTCCGGGACAGCGGCCCGATTACTAAGTCCTATCTTAATCTATAAGCGCTTCCCGCAGCTCGACAAGAAGCTCCACCTCATGAACGCCCAGCGTCCTGCTGGCTCCTGAAGCTTTACGTAAAGCTTACATGTGAGCCACGTCTAAAATGGTCACGCCCCGCCCCTGTCGGTCAAACAGTGCAAGAAAAGTGGTGCTTGACCACTAGCTATTAACGAGCGTCCCCAGTGCTCGCAGTTGCCAGCTGAATTAACCCTCTCGCCCAAGGACAATGTTCCACGTCCGGAACAGAGTGGAGGCATAAACCTCAGAACATTTTGCACCCCTAGGAAGTCCAAATTCCCTTCCTAAGTACTTTAAATAATTCTGGAAGCATCACTGGGGACTATAACCGCCAGTTTATTATCTGATGCCCGGGTCCCACCCTATAATCAATGTGGGAATAAAATTCCCTGACCAAATGTCCTAATCTAATCTCTTTTCTTGGCTGACGTAACACACACATAACACACCAACTTCAAACATACATCACAACAACTTTCAACTTCACCCTAAAATTAATCACAATAAATGTTATCAAATATCCTCAAACTTTACCTGTATTTATTTCTAATTACCCAAAGGTATCATGGACATGTCACCTGAGATCTACTTAATAGATTTTATAATTTAGTTTAATTTCCACTACTGAGCCACTTTAATGGTAATAATCATCAATTCAGTGGACAACTAATTTAGAATTTATCCAATGTGCACAATTTTCAACAGGCTTGCGCTTACCTATACTCTTTTGTATAGGTATGAGGTGGTCTGTTGTCCACCTCATATCAGATCGTACCTTAAGGTCCAAATTAGTCCCCTCAGCCGCAAAAGAATCCGGGTCACTGGCACCAAGTATTAAATTCCGGTTCTTTTGGATTCTTTAGGGCCAAGAAAGACATGGCTCAAAAGTGGTCCTTTTACTTTAAAAATGATCTTTATTTTACATATCCGGGATAATGAGACCTGAACACAAAACACACAACCCCAGGTCTGAAGCACAAACGGCAGCCTAGGTATTTATATAGTTGCTCTCTACGTCACACCACACTTTAAGTTTCGATCAAACAGCCTAGTTGGTTTCACTTTCTACTGCAATTACCATGCTTCTGCAAAAGCATGCAGTTTCCTGTCAGCACTTTTGGCACAGAGTGTACTCAGAGTTAGGCCTTTCTTATATAAAGCAATATAATCAGCATATAAACATTTAAGATTATAAATTTAAACCTCAACAAAATCCAGCATCAATCCTGTGACAAACCCAGAATATTTTAAAATAAAACAAAAGCTATATATAACATTATTTGTCAGTATTACATAGTAGATGATAAATGATGATGATATCTTGTTAAAGGTAGGTGTGGTGTGTATCACCTGTGCAGGTACATGGTGAAGTCACAGGAGGATGGACAGCTGGTGTCTTTGTCTCTGCAGCAGTTTGTTCAGAGCGTTGGTGCTCGGACAGCAGCTCCCGGAGGAGGATCAGTTTCTGCAGCAGTTGGTGCAATGGTACGAGCTTTTAGGTTCATAACAAAATGATACAATTCTACTTTTAGTTACTTATTTTATTTCGTATCCCTCTTGTAGGGGGCCGCACTGGGTGCCATGGTTGGTCAGATGACATATGGGAAGAGGCAGTTTGAGAATCTGGACAGTGTGATGAGGAGGCTGATTCCTCCATTTTATCAGGCCATGAATGAATTGCTGGACATGGTGGATGCCGACTCCTCCGCCTTCAACAGCTACATGGTGAGGAGGAAGGTCCAACACCTGCAGAGCCTCAGAAACATCTGCAGGCACCCGGAACCATTTCCACTCTTTACTTCTTTCACTGTAACCAGATTGTGATTATGTTTTGTCTTCATGTCAGATTTGAGTTGATCATATTCGTCTCATGTTGTAGGCAGCACTGAAAATGCCAAAGAAAACTGCAGAGGAAATGAAAAGGTGAATACTCAAGACTTTAAGACCACCAATTACTGCTAATGACTGAATGCCGTCAGGTTACATTTTTTTAAATGTCTTTAAAATGTCCTTGTAACTTTCAGAACCACGTTTCCACCTGGGATCATTTTTTAAAATAATCAAATATTCACTTTGTTCTTTTTACAGCTGAATAGGTCAAAACTAATTTCATTTCTGTCACCTGCAGAAACACTTCCTGTTTATTTGTTTGTTGTTCTCATCAGGAGAGAAGCTGCGATGCAGGAAGGACTGAAGCAAGCTGTTGCCGTCCCATTGGCTCTTGCTGAGAGGATCAGCATCCTTTGGCCGTCTCTTAAAGAAATGGTTGTCTACGGAAATTTTAGCTGCAAGTCTGATGCTCAGGTGTGAAAAAACACTCATTTCTACTTGTTCTGCTCAGATTCTCTGAAGGTTATAAAGTGCACCTTCAGTATCATGGTGATATAAACTGAGAGGAACTTTGTCTTTTACTAGTGGTGTGTTAAAACATGAATGCATATTAAATCTTTTAGTCTTTACTCCCACTTTTCTGTCAAACATCGCCTGCAACAGCAAAGCTGTAAATAAGCCCACCTGTCACGTTTTATTTCTGGTCTCAGGTAGCAGCTAAAGCTTTAGAAACAGCTGTTTTTGGAGCATACTACAATGTCACGATCAACCTCAAAGACATCACAGATGAAGCCTTCAGAGCAGCAGTAAGTGTGTCCATGAGGTTCTTCAATGTTGCTGTTGATATGCTCTGCTTGTGAATAACTCGTTTTTTTTGTTTCTGCTGCAGACCCAGAAGAGAGCGTCAGAACTGCTGCATGAAGCCAAAGACAGTAGTGCTGCCATCCTCCATGCTGCAGAGAAAAGAAACTGAATAGACTGAAGAAATCAATAAAGCAGCACAAGCAAGATAATCTGACATTAATGTGACTTTAAACACTGAAGAGCTGGATACAATGAATGTATTACAAGGGAAAATCTTCAGAATAAAGAGGTTACTTGAAATGGTAAAAGTTTTTAATTTTTGGTCATTTCTTTCCGTTCATATTCACAGAGCAGAATCACAATAACATTTTATTGTAAGATGATTTTCTGTCGGGACAGATTATGTTGCAGTGGACGAACATGGTACTAGAAATACTGGTAAAAATTGTATCGTATGCGATGGCAGACCGTGGAGATGTGGGGAAAGAGGACCCAAACGCCGGCAGGGCTCTAGACTAACTTTTTGCCATGGGCTGTTAAGGTTCACATAATTGAGGAAGGAGAGTACAAACAACCAGGTCCAGAAGATCTTGGTCAAACAATTGATTTTAATGAATACACGTGTGGGAAGACCACTGTACGCAGACAGTAATTAATCTTCGACTTAATCAAAGCATACACAGATTTTTATAGCATCAGGGTTTGAATTAACGACGCCCCTTCATACGTCACAGACAGAATATATACATACGTCAAATCAAAACCACAATAACTTTTAACACAGTTTAAAGGAACGTTGTCTTCTATCTTCATGGCCGGTACTTCCTGTCACTGCCAGATGCTCGCTTGTCATCTTGACACCTCAGCAGCAGTTCTGCGACAAACTGCTCTTTTGCAACCCCAAGAAAAACATGATTAAACTTCCACCTATAAATGATTCTCTCTAACTGAGTGTGTGTGTGTGTCTATGTCGTCCTCAAATGCTCTCTCAATTCACCCGTTGCACTTCTGAACTTTTACCAGACCAGAGGCTCATCCTTATGTGTAATAACCTAACTGAAACTATATGTACTATGTTGAATAAATGTTTTAATCAAGAACTTCTACTAAAAGCTTAGTAAAAAAATATAAAAGTATAACAGACAATTTGAATAACCTAGTAATTCAAATAGCCTCGTCTAACCTTTTTCAGCATTCAAAGATTGATGACACCGTGTCAGGGCACTGGCTATGAATTTCAGAAGGATCAGGCCTTAACTTAACAGAAAAGTTAGCAATAGTTCTTTTCCTATTACAGCTACATCCACTTCTGTCGTGCCTAGGCTGCTCACTAGGGCTGGGTATCATCACTGATTTCTATAATCCATTCGATTCAACTTAGCCTCAGACAGTCAGAAATATTATAATTCTGATCATTTATCAGTACTGACTTCATCAGAATTGTGAACATCACAGCAGATGCCTTTGTGTGAAAGTAACTGAGAATAAAACACAGAAAAACATGAAGGAGATTTTCCTGGTCTGGCTTTTTATAGCAGATAACCTTAAAAATATTCTACAATGTTCTGCATATAAAGTTTAAATTTCTTCAGTATTGAACAACAGAAAAAATAGGCTTTCTTGTCCGAGGTCATTTAAGTGAAAAAAAGAAAAAGAAAAGAAAAAGACAGCAGCCACAGCGCTGTAAACAACGGTAGACTGGTGGGTAATAAGCGAATGAATAATACAGAAAACAGAGATTGGAGACGGGAAACTGTTCTTGAAGTACAGAGAGAGAGAGAGAGAGCTAGCTGTGCATGAAGTGTGATTTTAATAGTCGTGGAAGCAAAACAGCAAAATTCATGACGACATTGATCAAATGTGAAGCGCAGTTTGCTGCTTCTTTTGCTGCTGGCTCGGTGAATTTTGGTTGGAGAGACAAAACCTGCAGCTCAGAATCAGCGCAAAAAGACGTAATCACAGCGCGGACCGGACGCATCAGAATCGCTAAGCTCCGACAGCGTGTCCGTCTACGGGCCGTCGGGTGAGAAAGCCGAGAAAGACAAAGTTGATTCTGATGCGTCGGTCTGTGTTTACGTCTTTGTGTGGAATCCGTGTACCTGCTCTCATCTGCTGTTTGGTTGTTGTTGAAATGGTTTTGTGAGCTTTAATCTGAGAATCTGGAAGTAATAGTCAGTGTTATTTAAAAAACAACAGTAACTTGACCATGCAAATTATCTTACTTATTTAGCCATGTGTTTCATTTTTTCAGCACACATATGACAACTTAGAATCTGTCAAAGTCCTTGTAACCACTTTTATAGATGAGAAAGAGATTTGTAAAAAATTCTTAATGTCAGCAGTGCCAAAGACATCATAGGTCAAAGCCAAGCTCAGCACATGGGCTGTGTGCTGAGCTAGATACGCTGCTAAAGTATAACACTGATTTCATGGAATATATTGATGTTGACAGTAAGGTAGACGTTAAGGACTCTGATAGATTCCTTTTTTTTTTCTCTCTTTTGCCTGTCCCGTTTGGCTCTTTTGCCATCAGAATTATTGTCTAAAGGCAAAGAAAGATGCCCAACGGATTTACTTTACAAAATTGACCATCCCAGCCTTGCCGTAATGGTCCATTTGATTCACCTTTTATTGTTTATTTTATTTTCACTTTACTGAATACGGGACAGACTTGACTGGGGGAAAGAAGGGGAGAAAGAAAGAGGGAAAGAAACAGCTGAGAAGAGGGACGGGGGAGAAGGGCAAAAAACAAAAACCAACAGAATGAGCAGAAAAAAAAAAAAAATGCATCTATCGATCACCTGGATCACCTGTTGAGAAAGAAAAAAGAAAACAAGCAGAAGAAAACAAGAGTAATAGAATAAACAACATCACAATGATATATGGGAATATGACAGTAAATACTAAATATTAAACATTATTGTGCAGCACATAAGATCAACAGAACACAGTGTGCTTTGAGGTAGGAGCCAAAAAGGGTGTAGTTTGTGGGTGTGATCACCCGTGTGTACACCTGTGAGCATGGACGCGCTTGTTTTTTTTAAAAGGTTCCTTCATGTAATGATCTGCTAGAGGGTGTGGGGGGGCCACAGCCCCGTCCTCCAGGGCATGAAGCAGGTATGGAGGAGATCAAAACTCCAGACATCCAGAGGCCCCCAGAACACAAGAGACCAAGGAAGACCAACAGAGGGGCAGCCGCGCCACTGTCCCAGAAAGAGCTGAGGAGAGTCCCAGATGAGGGCTCACTCAGCAGCCGCGGAGCAGAAGCCAGGGGGAGTTGCAGTGACGCGCCCGTGAGCTCCGCTGGCAGCCAGCTGTGCTGCCAGCGGAGGTAGTGTGAATGTCTAAGTTGTGGGATAAAATTGAGGCAGAGGCAGCCAGAAGGGGACAGAGGGGGGGTAGCCTCCTCTGCACCCTGGTGACATACCCCTACTCCAAGGCCCTGCATGTGTGGGTGGTTGTGGTGGAGCGGGAAGAGGGAGGCAGCTGGAGATGGGGAGGGAAGGAAGGGAGGGGCAAGTGACCCCTCCCTGGGGCCAGCTCCCCCGCTGACCCCAGTAGGCACCCCCATACTCCGCGACCCGCCAGGGAAAGGGGGCCCAGGCCCATCCAGACCGGGGCCCAGTGCAGCAGCGCCGCCCGGCCCCACAGAGCCCGGGACAGTCCACCCAACCCCACCACAGAGAAAACTGCACCCACCCCACCATCCACTCATCTTCCAGACTACATAAGACAATAGACGCCCAGGCTGAGATCTTCCTCCACCTCTCCTGTATCTCCCCCTCCTGCAGAGAGAGTTCCTGAAGAGAGGAAAGCTCCTGCAAGATGTGACAATCTCCCCCACCAGTTGAAGAGCCCCCCAGGTGGCTCGACGCACCGGCGGCACCCTGCGCCAGGGCTGGGCCCCCATGCACCCACCCGCCCACAACCCCGGCAACACACCAACCAGGACCCAAGCCCCCGAGGCCCGGCCAGGGCCCCAGCCCAGAGACGGAGCGCCCCCAGAACCTCACGCCCATCCCGGACCCACCCAGGGGCAGCCAGGCTACCAGGTCAGTAACCCACGTCCGTCAGCACAGACCCTCCCCTAGCCCCGCTGCACGCAGCCACGAGGAAACAGTCACCTGAGAGCCAACAGAGCCCCTAACTGGACATGACCGCTACCCCGGGTTGAGCCCCCCAAGGAAGATGCCTCCGGGGAACCCCCCGACGCCCTAAGCCTGTCCCTACCCCCACACCAATCACAACAGTGAAGGCGGGACCAAACTATGACCCCCCACCCCCACTAGGTGATGGAGCTGATCAAAGGAGCCCAGAGCAATTGATCTGATGTGGTGGCAGAGGCTGTATCAAGACTAATGTAATCTAATAGATAATTTCTATATTGGTTAGAATTAAGATTATTTTTATTTTTCCAGTTCATGAGGACTGTTTTCTTGGCTATGCATAGGGCAGTGAAAACCATATGGGCGATATTCTTTTCTGAAGTGACATTATCTAAGCTGCCCAACAAACACACTAAGGGGGAAGTTGGAATGTTACATTTCAGACACTTCGATAAGTCTTCACATATCTCGCGCCAAAACTTCTGAACTGGTGGACAGAACCAAAGAGCGTGGATATAATTGTCCGGTGAATTGGTTTGGCAGTGTGAGCAGTTGTTGGTAGACGTAAAGCCCATCTTGAACATCCGATGACCTGTATAGTGCACTCTATGTAATATTTTGTATTGAATTAATTGAAGACTGGGATTTCTAATTAGATGAAAGGTTTTTAAGCAAATCTGAGACCAGAAGTTTAGGTCTAAGTTAACTGATAAATCCGCTTCCCATTTTGCAATAGGAAGTGATATTGATTCATCTGTTTTAGAAAGCATTCTGTATATTTTGGATAGTAATTTGGGGGGTTTTAAGAGTAAGAAATTGAACCACACTTGGTGGTGTTTGTAGTTCAACTTGACCCGGTTTAAATTTCTTTTTTACTATGGATTTAATTTGTTGATATTCTAAAAATCTTTTCTTGTTGATCCCATATTGTGTAACTAGTCCGTCAAATGAAATAAATTCTGTTCCTTCTAGTATATGTTCTAAATATTTGATTCCTTTACCACTCCAATCTGAAAAGTTTATCATATTATTGTTTTGTAATATGTCAGGGTTGTTCCAGATAGGTGTACGTTTGCATGGGATTAATGAAGACGCCGTCAATTTTAGAAACTCCCACCATGCTGTCAGAGAAGAGCTGATGTTGATGCTTTTAAAGCATTCATGTCGTTGGATGTTTGAGCTGATAAATGGTAGATCTGAAATCTCTAGATTATTGCAAAGTGCTTGTTCTACATCTAGCCAAGGTTCATCTAAGAGGGTATGTTTTAGCCATCCTGAGATAAACTGAAGCCTGTTGGCTAAGAAGTAGTGCTGAAAGTTAGGTAGTTCTAATCCTCCTTTATCCTTGGTCTTTTGTAGTGTTTTTAAGCTTATACGTGGGGGTTTATTTTTCCAAAGGAATTTGGACATACATGAATCTAGAGATCTGAACCAATCTTGTGGCGGTTTAGTTGGGATCATTGAGAATAAATAATTTATTTTTGGTAAGACCATCATTTTTATAGCGGCAACCCTTCCCATGAGTGATATGGGTAGACATTTCCATCTAGCCAGATCATCTTCTACCTTCTTTAAAAGTGGGATATGGTTTAATTTAGTTAGATCTGCAAGCTTGGGAGAAACATTAATACCTAAATATTTTATATTTCCCGATTGCAGTGGTGTAGAAGAGGAATTATGGAAGGAGCAATTAATCGGTAGGACTGTAGATTTTGACCAGTTAATTGAGTAATCTGATATTCTTGCAAAAGAGTTTATCAATTCAATCACCCCAGAGATATTGGTTTGTGAATTTTGGAGAAAGAGTAACACATCATCCGCATAAAGGCTGATTTTATGTTCCACGTTCTTGCATTTTATGCCCTTAATACTGAATTGTACTGTCTAATTGCTGCTGCGTGTTCAATAAAAATTGCAAACAGTGAAGGGGAGAGTGGGCATCCCTGCCTGGTGCCCCTCAAGAGACAGAAGCTGGAGGATGTCTGGTCATTTGTTCTAGACACAAGCTGTTG